ATATTTTCTCACAAGGACAATTTCTTTTTCGTATTATAGTATTGGCTTTTAAAGGTAATTGAAATTGAAAAAAATAAAATAATTATAATTGGCTTTAACGGCTCCTCAAGCGTTTTTGAAAATATTCTAATTTTTTATAACCGAAAAAGAAAGCTGGAGTTCAACGAGCTCTTTAAGCTTAAAAATTTTTAATTAAAATAAATTTAATAATTAAATAAATAATTTTACCTATTTATATTTATTTTATTTATCTAAAAATATCCTTGTTTTGTCAAATCCTTCATTTTATTGTCTACAAACCTTTTATTTATTGTTTAAAAATAGTAGATAATGGATGCTTATATTAATCCTAAAAATAGATAATAGAAAAAAAATAAAATTTTTTAATTTTTATACAAAAAAATAAATATTTACAATAAAAATATACAATAAAATTTATATTTTTTATTATAAAAAATATTTAAGCAAATTAATAATAATAATAATAATATAAAATTAATTTAAATAAAAAAATTTTTTTCAAATAAAATAAAATTATAGTAAAATAATAGGTATATTATATATTCAAAACTTTTTTTTTGATTCTGAGTTAATGCTGCTTCGGATCAAGGGGAAGGCATTCTTCCTTTGTCCGCAGATTAAAGTATTAAGCAAAATGCATGATAAAGAAATGCGCAATAAAGTAAACAAAATGCACTCGCCCTTCGTCTTAATCAACTTTAACTCAGAATTAAATAAATATATAACCACTAATTGGGTATATAAGGAAATTAATATTTTACATACTAATTTAAAGAATCTTCAAAAATGTTAAAATGCTGATAAATATACATAGTTATATTTATTTTAAATGATTAAAAAATATATAAATCTTTTTTAAAATCTTCTACATATTTATAATAAAAAAATATTTATTTATATACATTTATCAGCTAAAAACACAACAAGAGTTCCAACAATAACATTTGCAAGAGAAGCTACAGCTGAACCACATGCCAAATAAAAGCTATAACTTAAATCACTTTGGCTGTTTAATGATTGGATACTTGTAATACTTTGTAGTTGATCTAGAAAATTGTTATTTTTTATTTTTTAAAAGCAACTATAACACAAAACTAATTTTCGATTATTGTAAAAACCCCCAAAATTGAGCTTACTCCCCCATGGCTTTTCGATTTTCGGGGACCTATATCTCGGTCCACAGGCATCTCCGTAAAGAAAGAGTGGTACCGTTCGACTCAGATCGGCGAGACGAATCGAATGGTATGTGTCTTATATCGAAACCTTTCCACCGGTATACTATACTACAGCTGATATTTTTTACTCCCAAAAATAAATACTTCATATTCCCCTTTCTCCCCCTTATTTTTAAGGCATTTCTTTCATCAAAAATTATAACTTTACTGATTAATATTTTTTAATAAAAAACCAACTTATCGAAGAATTATTACGTGACCAATAAATAATCACAGCAACTAATGTAAAAACAAAAGAAGAAAAAGAAAGTCCAGGTAAAGGTTTTAAAATAGATCCATGACAAAAACAAGCACAAATTGTCAAAAGATTCCAAATAAAGGAACCTATAGCAGTGATTAAACCCAAAATCATTAAAACAATAACTATTTTTTCTGATAATGGTTGGTTCTTTAAATAAAGAAAAATATGTATAAATTTGGTAAATTAAATAATTAAGGCTATAAATTTTAGTTTCAAATTAGGGAGTTATCCCCGTTCGAGAATATGTAGATGGGGTGGCTGAAGAGCATGGTTTGAAGTTAAAAGAATATAATCTGAATCTCGTCTAGATTTTTCTGAACAAACCCAATATTTCATAATAAAAATTAATTTCATATCATGAATTTAAATTGTTGACCAAAAACTGACTGGTTTTTGGTATGAAAAAATTTTTGAAAAATTTTTGACCAAAACTTGGCCAAATAAACGGCGCCGGCTTGTCGTCGACCGTTTTCCCTTATATTTAAAACTAGGCCTTTGGAATCAAAGTTCTAGCTAAAAAGCTGAATCCAATAATGTAAAAACCTGTTCTATCAACAAGCTTAAAATTGTCTAAGTTTTGTAAATTTAGAAAAAATTTACAAATAAACTAAAATTCGTAGCCCCATTAAAAAAATTAATTAATTACTAACATTCCACATTTCAATACACAAATCTAAATAACGAGTTCCACTTTGTGTACTAACAGTAATGGCTGTTGAACCAGAATTAACTTGTTGTATAGGTTGTTGATTACCATAATTAGTATTATAATTAGTATTTGTTGTTCCATATCCTTGTTGATTTGCTGTGTTAAAACCTTGATTTGCTGTATTGTAGCCTTGATTTATTGTACCCGATTGAACATTGCTTAATTAATTTTTTGGAATATTATTAAAAAATAAATAATATTAATTAAATTAATTATTTAATCCTGGCTTTATCTTTCAATACATTACAACGGATCGGCAGCTCTATTAAATGGTCTTACATTTTAAAAGGCTTTTCTTTATATGTATTATGTATTTCCTCAATTCTATTTTTTAAACGGCTTGTCAGGATCTGAAAGCAACTTTAAATCAGAGAATACTTAAATGTGGAAAAAGCTCGAGAAAGCTCGAGAAAGCTCGAGAAAAAGCTCCAGGCAGGAAACACGAACCTGCGAAAACCGAAACAGTGGTTCTCTCATACTAACAAGGAAAGGTTGCGATTTAAAAATGGTCGAGACCGGGCTCTTTCGATAGAGAATGTGCCCTTTCTAGCAAGGATTTTGTGCCGTTTGCCCGTTTTTTGTAAGGTTCTCTCAAACATTTCTCATAAATTTACATAATGCGCCCAATATCTAAACCAGACCCTAACAATATTAATAAAGATTACCCATTATATGCACTCTGTGTGTTATCATTCGAGCGTTGACAGGCAAAAGCAAAAAGTCCCATATTTAATGGGGGCAATTGGCCAAGCTGACCTTGTTGCAAATTCGACGCAACTTGACGCCATGCTTACAAATTAATTTAAAAAATAATTTTTAAAATTTCTCCACCTACCGGGTGTAAATATTGAACCAAGAATTAAGCCAACAGAAGCTAGGGCAAATCCCCCATAAGCAATTTGTCCAATTCTAGACAAACACATTTTTTAATTTTAAAAATTTTTTAATAGGAGAAGAAAAAATTTTTTTTAATATTAATTTTTCAAATAATTATTTAAAAAAACTTTAGTTAATTATTATTTATAAAAAAACTTTTTCTTTCTTTTTCCCACTTTCTCACTCATTTTAATTTTAAAATTTACATTAATATACTTCAGAGAAAAAAAAACAATTGAAAGGCTTCATACACTAACAATTGGCGCAGCCTTTACATTTTTTAAAAAAATATTGTCTGCCTTATAAGAATGTATAAATTAATTAGTGATTAGGCAAATGGTTACTCCAGCAACGGAGTTTTTTTTTTGAAAAATATAAAACCAAAGTTTTATTAAAAAAAGAATTGTTTAAAGCAAAGAATTTGATGTACAAAAGTTTTATGTAGAAGTAAGAAAGTGAGAAAGAACTCAAAATTTAATGAAAAATAAAGTTAACATACCGTATATCCTTTAATAACTACCCTGCGTAATTATTGTTTCGACCTTCCGTTGGGTGGAGTAATTAATCAAGGAATTATATGAGGTTTGAAATTTGAACGTGTTTTAGGGCATTTGTTTGGGGGTAATTATTGTTTCAATCTATCGCTGGATGGGGTAATTAATGGAAGTGAGGTAATTATTTGAGGGAGGGCAATTAATACAGGTTATACGGTATGCTTAATATTATAGATGAATTAACTGACTCGAACTTGAAAGTACAAAACAAGTACAGGGTGCGGCAAATTAAGCGCGCATTTGTTTTTAACCATAACTTTCTTCAATTTTAATGAAAATTTTGATAAAAATAAAATTTTTGTGTAAAATTTTCAAAAATGAGATTATAAGCTATTTCGATGCTCCTGAACGAGATGAGTCGTTTAATACCAAAATCATTTGTATTGAACGATTTTGAACGAAGTTATGATCAATTAAACTTTGGCATAAAAAATGTTTTTAAATTTTCCAGACGATCGAACTCGATTATCTTTGCCAACAGTGAACCAAATTTTTAATATTTGGTATCAGCAAGTTTCCTAACGTGTTGGGAATAAAACAAAAAAAGAATTATCAATTTTCATTAAAATTGAAGAAAGTTATGACAAAAAACAAACGCGCGCTTAATTTGCCGCACCCTGTAATTTTCATTAAATATCTAATACATAATTAAATAAATTTTTGATATCCTAATTCTGGTTTTCAAAAAGTTTTCCTGAAATTTAAAAAAAAAGTTTTTATCTTCATTTGGAAGATGAAAGAAAGAAATATCCAATAAGTTTATCTTGCTGCATTCCATTAAAGTTAATAATGGTGTGAGGTTATCTTCGAATCTTGGTCCTAGAATGAGAATTTTTGTTTAAATGTTTTACATATTTCCTGAGTACATAAAAGCAAAAATAAATTGATAATAATGTGAATCTATAATTCGTTAATTTGGGTAATTATGGGTAAAATTTTAATCTGCTCCAACTAACTAGGAGAAATTTCTGGACAAATTAAACTTCAAAACCTTCGAATTATTCAAACTCTTAATATTATGGAAAAATAAATGGGGGTCTTAAATTATCTGTGACAATTAATTTTTGTAGATTTTGTTAAAAATTAAAATTTAATCAAAAAACATTTGTAATTTGAATAATTTAATATAAAATAGAAATTTTTGTTACCATTATAAATGAAGAAATAAAATTTTAAAAATAAATATGGATAAATTAAAAATGTTTAATATAATATAAGGTGAGGTGTATGGTGCCCATAATACTTTCAAATATAATCATTACTCGGTTATCTTTTCCCCGGGGAAGCCCTGTTTTTAAATGTTTAGAGGCAATGGATAAATAATAGAAACATTTTCATAGCTAAAATGTTCTTCATCGTCAACTTTAATCTCTTCGAGAAGAATCAGTAGTACTTGTAAATATAGAGCTACGTGAAGTCCCCAAAGAATCTTCTCCTTCATTTTGAACAGGAAGTATAAAATTTGGAACTGCAATCTCTTGGTCAACTTCAAAATCTGGGTTAAGTTCGTCTGCTAACGCTTGAATTTGGTCTTCATCCATAAACTGAAAATTATTTTCTCCTCCCTCTTCACCCTCCTCATTAACAACGATACCGTCTTCATTCATAAGCTGATGGTTATTTTCTTCAGCATCTTCACCCTGACCATTAACAACGTCCTAAATAAAAATTAGTTAATTAAAAAATTAAAGTATAAAATGCATATAAAACAATGTTTTTAATAGAAAAGAGGGCTAGCAACAATAAATATCTCAAAAAATTTATTGGATTAGGAGGTATATTTATTCAATTCTCCCTCATTTTCAAAATGTCTCCCTTTCATTCAATATCTAATTTAAGAAAATTCAATTTGGATGGTCTCAGCATAGATATGTGATCATTGCCTTTGCATCCCTCCATAAACTTACATTTAATTGAGCACCAGCGTCTTCAACAATAACAATTTCTTCCGCAACATTTGGATTTTCTTCATCTTGAATAATTAAAATGTTTTCTTTTTTTAATTTTTATTACTTAAAATAATTTTAAATTTAAAAGTTTATTTTCTTATTATTCGTTAAATACAAAATAATAGTTAAAATAATTTAATAGACAAATTAATTTAAAAATACTAATTTACTTTCTTCATCTCCATCGCCAAGAACATCAACAGAACAACAAAAACCACTATTACCGCAATAAACAATTTTAATAATTACAAAAAATATAAAAACTTGAATAAATTTACTGTTTTGTTTAATAATTAACATTTTTTAATTTGCTTAATAATAAAAGAAATTAACACTAAATTTTATTTAATAATTTAATTTATTATTTTTAATATTTATTTATTTAAAAATTTTTCCTTAGGGAGAGAGGGAGAGGATAAATAATTTTTTATAATAATTTATGCGCTCCTCTAAGTAAAATCCTATATTAATTACTTCCCTCTATCTTTCTATCCATCAGATTCTTTAGTCAAGCCTTGCCTTTTGTCATATTTTATGGATTTTTGTTATAAATTTAAATTTTTAAAATTGATTTTTTGCAGTGATAAAATTTTTTAATTAATTTTAAATTTAAAAAATTAAAAACATAGGCCAGAGATCAAGCTTTTTGAAACCCAAAAACATATGTAAGAATTTAAAAAATTTTCTATTTGAATCAAACATTTTAATTTTTAAATTCTAATAATTTTTAATGATTTCCTCCTAAAATTTTACTTAGGTTAGGTCGGTCAGAACGGAAAATAGTCTCAAATAGGATTGTGCCCCGTCCCCGAAAATCGGGGAAGTTGAGAGATTTTTTGAAATCAGCGGGTGAACACCCCCCCGTTGGGGAACAACCCTAGTCTCAAATATTCCTCTCAACCTAATAAATTTAAGTAAATCCAAAAAAATAAATTTTAAAAAATTGTTTTAAAATTTTTAAATTTATAAAGGCCTTAAATAATTACAATTTTGTAATCACATAAATATATATTTTAAAAACAAATAAAACAATTGTAATAAATTGGAACACAATTTATATATTTTTCTTCTCCAATTTATATATTTAAATAGCAAAAATCATTCCTTCAGCATCTCTAATTAAAGATTTTATATCTTCATCAGACACCCCATCTTTAATTTGTTTTAATATTGATGGAAGGTTTTGTTCTATAGCCAAATAAATTAATGTTGATTGTCCCCACATTAACATTATAATTGTTTGCAAAATTCGAAATAAAGCTATTGGTGAAAAATTTGAGTAATTATTTGTTTTTTGAAGAACTAAAATTAATGAACGAAGAATATCTTCACGTGGACCTAAAAAAAGAATTTTTTGGTAAATTAATTTTTAATTAAAATTAAAACCAAGTTCTGTCACATTTGATTTTGCTTCACTATTTTTTAATAAAATTGATGCAAAATTTGCTAATGCCGTCGCAGAAGAAATCTTTAATTTATTTAAATAAGTATAAAATGTGAAACAAAATAAGTCTGAATATGAGTTAAAAACGCCTATTTTTGCTCATTTTTTTAATCAATTTTACGCATGTTTTAATTACCAATTTGTCTCTTATTTTACTCACATTTATTAGAAGCTATGAGAATCATGTATAAATTCTCAACAATTCTAAAAAATTTCACTCGACTTTCAAAAAAATTTAGAAAAAAAAACGAAGCCAGGATAAATTTTTGGGGGACCTTCTATACCGGCGTCCTACATCCCTTGAAAACAAAGAAGATGTAGGATGAATTAAAATAATCAAGACACGTAAACCCCATTTCTGGGAGCTTCAGCCCCAGGCTACGCACGTGCTCATCAACACTTCTTGAAAATTTTCCTCGACTTTGAAAGGAAATTAACAAAAATGGATTAATTTAAATTTATACCTGTAATGCCTGTTTTGATGAATAAAGCTGTTCTGGAATGAAAGAAGAAAAAGCAGAAGTTGCTGATAACAACATTTCACGTCCATAACTATGACTGGCAGCATTTGCAAGTGATCGACATGAAAGAATAAGAATAGGGTCTGGAGAATCTTTTGTAAGGAGAGAAAGTAAACGAGAAATTGTTGACTGGCCTTTTGGTGGATTTCCTAGCACTGGCTTAAAATTAAAAATATTTTGATAATTTCGATAGATACTGGAAATTTCAGGCCCGTAGCCAGGGGGGTGGGGGGGGGGGGAATTCCCCCCCCCCCCGAAATGGGGTAAAGGGAAAAATTTTGGGAAGGGCTGGGGCAAAAAAAGTGAAATTTTTTGGCCTACGGCCTTCGAAATTTTCAAAATTTTCGCCTGCGGCGCTAAAAATGGAAGAAATCTGGATTATTGAGCTCCAAAATTCAAAAAATTTTCGCCTGCGGCGCTGAAAATCAAGTTTTTGGCGCCTGCGGCGCCGAAAAAGTGAAATTTTTTGGCCTACGGCCTTCTAAAATTCTCAAAATTTTCGCCTGCGGCGCTGAAAATAAAAATTTTTCCCCCCTTGGCCCCCCCCCCGAAAAAAAATCCTGGCTACGGGCCTGGGAAATTTCATCACATAATTTTATTAAATAAGAGAACAAAAAATTTAGAAAATTTAACAAAAACAAAAAACAAAAAATTTAAAAAACAAAAAATTACCTTAAGAGAACAAAAAATTTCATTTAATTTTGGATGTAAAAGAGCAATTCTAAACAGATCCAAAGCAGGTACAGCACGTTCCAACGGCCATTCCAGTGCTTTTTCTAAAGTAACAACATGACATTCAGTAATATCAAATTCAGTATTATCTTTTAAAATTTGAGAAGCCGCACAAATCTTAATTTTTTAATTAAAAATAATTTTATAAAAATAAAATTAACCTCATCGTCAGTCATTTTTAAAGGGTGAAATAAAGTCAAATTCATGTCTAAAAGACAAGCAAATAATTTTTGGGAAACACCTTCCTTTCCAAATGAATAAAAATCCCCTAAAGGCACAAAATTGTTTTGAGGACGTTTTTTATCTTTAAAAAATAAATTAAGAAAAAAAAATTAAATTAAGAGAACCAATAGAAACAGGTTTGACTGAAGAACTTCCAGGAACATAACGTCCGGAGCCCGTAATGGGATCTTGGTAATCTGCAGCATTTCCATTTTGTTCAGTAACAACTTGATGGAAAAATCCATCATTTGCAGCAATATTGTCATTTTTAGTGGAAAAGCGAGACATATCAAATGTGGGGTCCTGAAAGAAATAAAATATTTTCTTAATAAGTTTGAAAAATAACCTTCGCTGCTTGGGTTTCCTTTTCTTTAAATGCAAGTTCCTCATATTGGCTGAAATAGAAAAACTCTTGAATGTCATCTGGAGCTCGTCTTGATGGGTCAGCTGTGAAGATTAAAACCATTCCAGAGCTACAAAAATAATTTTTTATTTAAAAATTAAAAGAAACCTCGAAGCAATTGCAAAATCGCCATTTCGCAGTGCAGAAATTGACCAAATACTTTGGACAGGAACCTTCATAGAAAATTTGTGAATCAAATTTGCATCAGCTTCCAACTTCCAAATATCAATACAACCCCCCTCTCCAGCAGAAAGTAGAAAATCATCTTTGGAAGGAATATGGAGTAGAGACATTCTTAATTAAAGGAAATTTTGAAAATATTTTTAATTTACAGGGAATTTCGGTTAACCCTTCTAGATACGAGAAAATACAAAATACAGAAATGTTCGGTTATTTCCTAACACTGATAATTAAAAAATGTAACTATTTCTAGGTTATTCTAACAAAACATTAAATAATTACGTGTATATAAAATTATCATGTTGAGGTAGAAAGTTTCGAAGTCTTGTACAATTCTGAATATCCCAAAGAATAATTGTTGCATCATTGGATGTTGAGAAGAAATATAATTCAGAAATTACAATTAAAGAACGAACAACATCGGTGTGCCCTAAAATAAAAATTCAATTAGTTTTGGAATTTAAAAAAAATTTCCCAGACCGGATTTTCCGGATCAAAATCCCAAGAATTCGGATTTTTTAGACTCTAGATTTAATTTCTTTAGAGATAAAAAGGTAAAAGATTTGATGGGTCATATAATTCAGAATTATTTCTGAAATTAGAGGCGAGTTGACATGAGTTGGACCACTCCAAATTAACTAAACGACAAATGGTATGTAGTAATATCAGAAAATATGGCATAATTAAAACAGGGCAGATCCAAAAAATTTATGCAGCAACAGAAAATCCGAAAGCATTGGTTATTTAGAAGAAAACCCTGGTCATCGGTCCACACCCTAATTACATATTTAATAATTTAATTTACCAAAAAATTCAGTAATAACATCATAATCCTTGGACCAAAGTTTAATTGACTTATCAGCAGAACCAGTAAGAAATTTTGGCAATTTTGAAGGAACAGTTGCAACAGCCCAAACAGAGCATTTATGTCCAGACAAAAATCCAATTGGAACCCTATCGGGACCTTCTTTCAACAAAAGTTCTAACGGCCAAACAACAGCATTATGATCCTAATTAATTGAATTTATTTAAAATTTAAATTAAAAATATACCCAAGATCCACTCATTAAAAACCCAGTTTTATCGTCAAAATAGAGAGCACAAACTAAAATGCCAAAAATTTAATTTAAAGAAGATAAATTAAACCATTAGATTTATGCCCTTGCAAAACTTTAACAGGTTCTTCTGTATTTGAAGCATTATAGATAGCTACTGACCCATTTTTCCTTCCAAGAAAAATTAAACTTTCAAAACCAGCATCTGGAGCAGATCCTAATGCTATTGAATTTATTGCCAGACAATCTTTTTGTTGAACAGTTGAAGTATTTGTCCAATTTATGCCTCTAAAAAAATAATTTTTTTAATAAAAAAAATTTTTTCTTACTCGTTAGTCCAAATTTTCATAAAACCATCTCTTCCGCCACTAATTAATGTTCCTGTAGGTGTTTCAATAACACATTTAGCATCATCCGAATGGGCTTGAATAATTGCACTTAAAGAAAATTGAAGATTGTCGTTGTCATTATTTGATGAAATTATTTTACTAGTTGAACATTCGTCAGAAGTATCCATCTTTTAGAAAAATTTTAATAATTTTAATATCTAAAAAGTTTTATTAAATCCTCAAAAATAATTGTTTAAAAATTTGGATTTAAGGGAAATTGGATGATTTTTCGTAGTTTTGGGCCAAGGAATACGGCTGAGAATTTTTAAATTTAATTGCTGACTGTGGATTGTGCTCTTTCTCGATTGTGGACATCTCTCAACAAAAATCATCAAAAAATATTTGACCCAAAAGGGTGGGACACGCCCAAGTAGACGCGCGGCCATAACGGCGCAGAGCCATAACATGCTGGAAAATTTCTTGCCCTTATCAATTTTGGTATCAATCTCTTTAGCTCGTTGAGAGGAATCGTTTAATACTAAATTTGGGAAGATTCGGAAATTTTGAAGCAAGTTATGGCTTTGCGCCGTTATGGCCGCGCGTCTAATTGGGCTGTACTCAAAAGGGTATATCCCACTTAAGTATATCCCACACGTCCACTCAACCATAAAATATGTAGAACTTTGCTCTTTGTTCAGTAATTACCTATAATGGGATTCAAGTCCTACATTAGACTAATATTTCGTGTAAATATTACCAACAATAAGTACTAAACGATAAAATTAGATTCTATAAATCACTTTTTTTGCTTAAGTGTGACGCGACTATGTGGCCCAATTCGACATTTAGAAGTACAGCAATTAGAGTCTAAAATTTGTTGCGGCATTTTTCTTTATTTACTAACAACATTGTCAAAGGGTCCGAATCCCTAAATTAATTTTGCTAGGCTGCTTAAGCTCATTCTCTAACGATTGAATCTTTCCCAAACCTCGGTGAAAAATCATTTTTTATTTCAATTGGCATTCTGTAAATATTTGTTTTGCTAAAAAATTAATTGTAAAATTAATTTTAACAATTTTATTTCTTACATTTTATTCATTTTTGTAGAAAATATAAACGCAGAATGGAAGATAATAGTCCAACAAAAGAGCAGACAAAAGTTGCAAATTTGGAAGATGCACAAGAGGAGAAAATCGCCATTTTAGATTTTGGTGCTCAATATGGAAAGGTTATTTTACTAAAACTATTTTACTAAAAACTGAGGGTCGCGATTTTTTTAATTTTAGTGGGTTGGACGGAGGATTTGGGTCGTGACCTCTGACTGGTCTCATCACCTGATTTCTGGGAAAATCGGTACTTATTTAGTTTCCCCCCCCCAGTCAGTTTTTTCGAAAATTATGTAAAAATGGTCAGTCTGAACAACAATTGTAGAACCCATCGAGCTGTGTCGAATGACACCAAAATCAACAAAATCCGACTTGATTTGACCGAAATACAGACCCCTAAAAATTGAACAACCATGGGGGTGATTTTTCGAAATAAAAAAAGTTTACCCAAATGATAGCTCATTCGAAAGAGCTCGTCGAGCTGAGTCGAATGACACCAAAATCAATGAAATCGGACAAGATTTGACAAAGTTATGACATTATTTAGACCTACCGGAGTCGACGACTTATGTCATAACTTTGTCAAATCAAGTCGGATTTCGTTGATTTTGATCTCATTCGACTCAGCTCGACGAGCTCTTTCGAATGAGCTATCATTTGTATAGATTTTCGTCTTTATGATTTTGTGCCCCTGTGGTTTAGGGGTCTGTATTTCGGTCCAATCAAGTCGGATTTTGTTGATTTTGGTGTCATTCGACACAGCTCGATGGGTTCTACAATTGTTGTTCAGACTGACCATTTTTACATAATTTTCGAAAAAACTGACTGGGGGGGGGGGGGGGAAACTAAATTAGTACCGCAAAATCTAGGGTAATATTGAACAGACATCTGTCCGTCTGTCCTTTTTCCTCCCCAATTCTTCCCCTATATTTTTCCAAAATGTTCAAACTTTTCCTTTCTTCCACCCAAAAAGGAATTAAATAACTCTTTTTGTTTGATTGTAAGCAAAAATTAGAAAGGCAATTCGGATGGAAGAAAGGAAAAAGTCTGGCGATTTTGCAAAAATATAGGGAAAGAATTGGGGAGGAAAGAAGGGTTTGAAGAAAGAAGGGTTGTCTGGTTCAATATTACCCGATTTTTTAATTGTAATGGGTTGGACAAAGGATTTGGGTCTTGGCCTCTGACCTATCTCTTGTCTTGATTTCTTGTAAAATCTTGAAACCCCAGAGAATGCTGGACCTTGCTTTAACTGACAGAATTAATTACACGATTAATCAAATACAAAACCTATAGCTTCTTTAACAAATATTTTTAAAATCATCCCTATATTCTTTTAATTTTAAGTTAATCGATAGACGTGTTCGTGAATGTAATGTTTATAGTTCTATTTTGCCTTTTGACACTAAAATGGAACAATTGTTGCGGGATAAGTACAGGTTATTTTATATTAAATTTTTAACAATTAAAAAGACATTTTAGTGCAATTATTATAAGTGGTGGACCAAATTCTGTATATGTTGATAATGCTCCTTTGTATGATGCTGCTATATTTAATGGGCAACTTCCTGTATATTTTTTGATTTTAATTTTTCTTTTATGTCTAGAATTTTAGGTACTTGGAATCTGTTACGGGTTTCAGGTATTTGATTATTTTTTAAAATATTTTTCTTCTTACATGAGCAAGGGCGTAGCCAAGGGGTCGATTTCAGAGGGCTAAAATGGGGAATGTTCGCCAAAATTTCCAACGTTTTTTGTACGTATATTTTTATTTTGAGAATTTTGTGGGTTGTAGGCATAAAAAATTTACTTTTCTGATCATTTCTCTTTTTAAATTTTTTTCATTTTCCCATTTCAGGGGGGACATAGCACCAGAAGCCCCCTGGTTACGCCCTTGGTTATGAGTATTTTTGAATTTAAACCCTTCCTTTATTGGCTATTATTTTCCCTCAAATAAAACAGCAAAAAACACACTTTTTCTATTTTAGTTGATAAATAAACATTTTGGCGGTAATGTTTGTTTACATGCAAGACGGGAAGACGGCCGTACAATTATTAAAGTTTTTAATTTAGAATTATTATATTTTATTTTTAAATAGATTGACCCTCAATCAGAAATCTTTAACGGCCTTCAAGCCGATCAAAATGTTCTTTTGACACATGGAGATGGAGTAACAAAAGATTCAATTCCACCTAATGGATTTCGTATAATTGCAATGAGTGGGGAATTTGTTGCGGGTTTTTTAAGTGTTTTTAATCAAAATAAAAAAATTTTTCTAGGTATTGAACAAGTGGAAAAGCGTATTTTTGGCCTTCAATTCCATCCAGGTTTTTATATTATTATTTTCGAGCATCTTTTAAAATTAATTTTAGAAGTGGACTTGACTGAAAACGGAACTTTAATTCTTTCAAATTTTCTTCGCCGCGTTTGCCGATTGACTTGTCGTTACACTTTTTTAAATCGAGAGCATAAATGTATAGAATTAATTAGACAAACTGTTGGTGATAAACATGTTTTGGTACTTTGTTCTGGAGGTGTGGATTCAACTGTTTGTGCTGCTTTGTGTATAAAAGCTTTGGGCTTTGAAAAAGTGGTTTGTTTTCAAAAATAATTTTAAACTCTTCTTGGGGAGTTTCGTAGTAAAATGTTTGGCGACGGATTTTTATGAAATTGCAAGTAAAATTTGTAGGGGTAGCACCACGGGGGCTTGGGGATGAGACTAGAAATTATAAAATATCCAATTAAAATATTTCCCAAATAAAATATTAATGTGAGGGGTAAAATGGGGTAACGGGTTCTCGTCAGCAAAAGCTAAGAAAAAGAGTACAAGAGAGTTGAGGGGGAGGAACAATAAATGGCTAAAGACAACAAAAGTCTTAAAATATTTATATTTCGAGAAAAATTTGGTGTAGTTTAAATTCTTCAAATTCTTTGTTTTTATGATGATCTCTCACATTCTCATTTCTTGTTTCTTTTAATAAATGAACTAATTTTAAATTTAAGCATGCAATCCATATTGATAATGGCTTTATGCGTTATAATGAATCTTCCGCTATCATTACATCTTTAAGCGCAATTGGACTAGGTTAATATCGTTTTAAAAATATTCTAAAAATTTTTATTTTTTAGTCGTTAATCGTTTTGATTTTTTAACTGAATTCTTGAATGCCAGGATAATTGATAAAGGAGTAGAAACGCTACCATTAAAATTTGTTACTTGCCCGGAACATAAACGTAAAATTATTGGTGATACTTTTATTCGTTGTAAAGATGCTGCGATTGAGCAAGTAAGGAGTTTTTAAATTGATTAGAGTCTGATCCTCTAAAAATTTAAATTTCAGACATTTTTTTATTTCTCAAGTTATGACCGAAAATGTCAACATTTTTAGTTTTATTTTTTAAAATTTGACAATGAAAAAAATCTGAAATTTTCATATTGTCACTCACCTTTCATTATCATTACTTAAGGGGATGGAGAACTGGCCAAACAGTTCAGTCTTAATTTTCTGGTTTAGAGAACCGTTGGATGGTTTTCCATCCCTTTTTCCACCCGTTTTTGTTCACACATTTTATTTTAAATAGCCGACCCGTTAATCGGGACTTTCTGACTTATTAGATTAACAAAATTTAAACAATTGAAAATTTTATGAACCCGTATTATCTTAATATTTTAAAATAATTTAATATTTTTTAGCTCAAGTTGGACAATGACCTTTATTTGGTTCAAGGAACATTACGACCAGATTTAGTTATAAAAATTAATTTAAATAAAAATATTTATTTCGCCCTTATTAGATTGAAAGTGCGTCACAAATTGCTAGCGGTTGTGCTAATGTTATTAGTAAATTAATAATTTTAATTTAAATATTATTTTTAAATTTAGAAACTCATCATAACGATAGTGCACTTGTAAGAGAACTTCGAGATTTGGTATTTTTTAAACTTTAAAATTTAAATTAAAATATTCTTAGGGAAAGGTTGTTGAGCCATTACAAGATTTTCATAAAGATGAAGTTCGAGAACTTGGACGAACTCTTGGATTGCCTGAGGCTATAGTTGCTCGCCATCCATTTCCTGGTCCGGGTTTGGCTATTCGAATTCTTTGTGCTGAAGTGCCATTTATTGTGAGGATTTTATTAACTAATTTTCTACAAATATTTTAGTGTGAAAATTTTGATGCAACACAAAATCAGCTTCGTTCAATTGTTTCAAATTTTAGTCCAAATTTTGATTGCATTTTGCTTCCTATTAGAGCTGTTGGTGTACAAGGTTTTTAGAATAAATTTTTCAAATGTTTGCTCGCAATTTTCACATCAGTTAGCAATCCAAACTTTTAGGGCAGACATTTTAGTGTTCTAGACATGCGGAGGGCCCGTCTTGTTTAAGCTTTCTTACTTTCGTTTTTACTCAATTTTGACCTAATTCCCTCAAAGTGTTCTTAAACTTCTATTTAAAGGTGATCGACGTTCTTATTCTTATGTTGCTGCTTTGACCTTTTGTAAAAAGGATGAACCTATTCCTTGGGATAAAATTCATTATTTGGCTAAAATACTTCCAAATGAAGTAAAAAATGTAAATAGGTTAATTGTTGTATTAAAAATTTAGTAATAAATTATTAAATATTTAAAGGGTTGTTTTTGTATTTCATGAAACAACTACTAATTTAATTAAAGATATTACTGTTACACATATAAATGAAGGTATTTTAATCATTTTTTTGTGGAAATTTTAAAAGTAATTTCGTGTTAAGGGATATTCTTTTGATTTTTACTCTTTATTTATTTTTTTTGATTGATAAGAAAATTCCTAGTTTATATCCTTAATATTATGCTGGATAAATTAGAGGAATTGGGGAAATTAGTATTTTTTCTAACTTATGGCTTATAAAAAATTATCGAAATTATTTTTAAAATAAAAAATTATCAAATTATTTTTAAAAATAAAAAAACTATCCAAATTATTTTTAAACTCTCTAAATTTTTTTTTTAATTTTGTTTGTATTTTAAAATAATTTCAGCAACAATTGAGATTATTCAAAAAGCTGACAAAATTGTCTATCAAACATTGCGCGGGTTGGATTCTTTAGACAACCCAAATCCTTTACTTAAAGATTCTCTCAAATGTATAGAACAGGTTCTTTTATATTTTAATTTTTAAATTATTTAAATTTTTCAGATGCCAGTAGTTCTAGTCCCAATTCATTTTAATCGCTTTTATACTTTGCCTCAAGTTTTCCCAAGTACAAAACGTTCAATTGTTTTACGCCCTTTTCTTACTCGTGATTTTATGACTGGAGAGCCAGCAATACCAGGAAAGGATATTCCCTTTGAGGTGGATTTTATCTTTCTTATTTTTTTTATTTTACACCGGGATTGCTATAATATGTGCCCGATAAAAGAAATAAATAGTCAAGTTTATGATAAGTTTCTTAAATTTGTGTTTTGGTTCACCATGGGCGATTGTTTAACGATTCCACCTTCACTTTAGAGTACCTCGATTCATATTCTTTTTTTCAACCTCTAGGGGGTATTTTATAAAGAGATCCGACTTGATTTAATTTTCTTTTTAAAAATGTTTTTATCAAGAGCGTATCCAAGGGGGCTAGAGCCCTCCCTCCGGAACCGACCCCCTGGTTTTTATTAGTTGGTTTTTATCATTATTTTCAGACAATTATGGAAATGGTTAGACGTATTGAAGCAGAAATGCCAACAACAATTTCTCGGGTTATGATTGACATGACGGCGGTAAATTAAAATAAAAAATTTTTTCGGAACAATTTGTTTTTAAATTTAGAAACCTCCCGGTACTACAGAATGGGAATAATGCTATAATTATTTAAATTTTATTTTGCTCAACAGGGCACTTTTAAATCCTTTTTTTTTACTCTTTTTCCGATTTAGAACTCTCAACAATTTATTGCTCTACTTGTTTAATTATATAAGCCATCTTTTATTGTTGATTTTGAAATTTTCTGAATTGACATTTTGAAAATTTAAATAAATATATAATTTAAAAAGGAAATTGTTTTTAAGTTTTTATTAGGGTTTTTTGACAAGATTTGAAACAAAATTGACTTTAAAAAATTTCCCCTCATAGAAACGGAACCGGAAATTGACTTTAAAACTAAAACCGCTACCACCATCCCTCTCCTCTCCCTAAAATCGAGGTTTGCCTTTAACCGCCCATCTTTCTATTTAAAAATTTAATCGTTGGTCTTTTAATTAATTGATTAATCTCGTGAAGCCTTTAAAATTTATACACGTCGTTTTATGGCTGTCAGGATTGATTTTTAATAGAAAAATCGAGGGGTGGATTGATTGGAGAAAGAGAATTTTAAAGAATTTAAATTTCCCTCTTCATTTTAAATTTATTTAAATTTTTTAAATTTATTTAAATTTGTTTAATTTTTTTAAAGAAAAAAATTTTTTTTTAATTTTTTAAGAGAAGATTCTCTATGAAAGAGAATAGGATTCTAATTTTTTATATATTACTGTTTTGTTTTGGACAAACAATTTTGGTGAGTGAAGTTGTTCAACAGGGAATAAATGACCAAACAAATTTGGTAAAAGAAAGTAAAGAAATTATTAAATTTGAAGAAAAAACTAAAATCAAAGAATTTGTAAAAGAAATTAAAATTTTAAAAAATTATGGGGAAGTTTCCGTTGAGGATGAGTCCGACAATGAGTATGTAAAGATACGGAAGACTGTTAATGGTAGCTTGACTAATTTGGAAAGTTTTTCTTTTAAAGAGAAGTTGGAAAAATTTTTAAAATTTTTGGAAGATTATGTTAACAATACATATTTCTCGGATATGGAATTACAAAAGGAGTTGATAACAAAAAAGGGGACGATAAAAGAATTAACTGAATTAGTTAAAAAATTAAATAAATATTTTTTGAGTAAATTTGAAAATTGTGAAGAGTTGTTTAATTTACTAAATCAATTAAAGCCGTCTTTTAAAGAGGAGGGACAAGATAAACTTCAGTTTACAATTCTTATTAATCAATTACAAACAGAAATTATTATTGGACAATCTGAGAGGGGATTTTCCTATTTGGAAATTGAGGAGTTTGGAAGTAATTATAAAAAAGATATAGTTAATCAAATGGAAGTTGTTAGAAAAGGATTTACAAATTCAATTGAGAGTAGTAAAAAAATTGGGCAAAATGATGAGAATATTTCGAAAAATTTTTGGTCAAAACATGAAGAAAGTTTTACGGAAGAAGCAATTTTTGAGAAAAAAGGTTTTTATTTGACAGTCTACAACTAAGAGACTCGGTCCAAATTTGAAAAATTTTTGGGCTGAAAACAGTAGTAATAAAAAATAACTCCTTTCATGTCCATTCCCCGTTACAGGCACAGGCGATTATCTTTTATGTATATAATTTTATCTGGGTATTATTCTTGTTTTATACATTCGATTTTTTAAATTGTGGGCAGAGGTGGGTCAGAATTCCGATTTCCGACACCTCTGACTGTTCCGACCCACCTCTGATTGTGGGAGATAAAAGCTTTCACTGTTCCTCTAATTATAATAGTATATGTACATATAAATCTGGCTTCAAAGGAGTAAAAAATCTTCGGATATCCGGATCCGAACCGAAATTTACAACCTTCCAAAGGAGTATATTTAAACGAGATCCTAAACTTATTTAATAAAATAATTTAAAGGAGAGATGATGCAATCAGTTTATAATCATTTAATGAAGAATACTTTTAAAATTTATATTGAGAAAGAAATTCAATTGTCTGAGGGAGTAAAGGAAGAGGGGGAAGAAGAGTATATTTCAGAAACTCTAGAAAATTTAAAAAATATAAAATTTTCATTTAAATTTGTTAACAAAGAACTCCTCAATAAATTAAATCTGAGTCCCGAAATAAAACAAGAATTATTTGGTGTTAACACAAATTACAAAATAATTGAAGAACCTGAAGAATTATTAAATATTCCAACAACAAAAAAAGATAAAAACAGAGAAATGAAAACATTTTTAGAAAATGAAAATTCAAGAGTTCGAAGTCTGCTTGATTCAAGTAATAAAGATTTAACAAAGGAACAAAAACCGGAGAAAAATTCAAAATGGAACTATTTTGCTAAATTATTTATTGGTAAAAAGAATACAAAAACCAAGCCAGAATTCGGAGATATTGTTAATTTAGCTGTTGCTGCTAAAAAGAATAATGAACAAATTTTAACAGAAAAGGCAAAAAAATTTTGTTTATTAAAATTGCGTTTAAATATATATTTTAATTTAAATGAAGCAATTAATGCACTTTACCAGAAAATATCAGACATAAAAAAGTCCACAATAAATATTAATGATTTTAACAAACCCGAGGTAAATACTACATATGTAAATTTATAATTAAATAATCAAAAGAAAATAATTTAGAGATCCCTTTAAAATAAATAAATTAAACAGATCAATGTTTCACCGAAACCGATATTTTGACCGGATCCAATTTGGTCCCGGTGCCGGGAACCAAAAAACGCCGGAACCTTCCAGAACTGCAACCGAACCTCCGGTGAAACTGTATCAATTACCTCTGTTTGTTTTATCACATTCTTCGGTTAATCGAGACTGATACTTTTGATTTATTTCGAAAGCAGACTTGGTAATGGACATGGATTCTGGTATTCGTATCCGGATATTTACGGCGGATACAGGTGGATATCCTCAGGCGGGATAGCTAAAACTTCGTTAAAAATAGCCGAATCCGGGACGCCCTGGTATAGTTTGATTCAGCTCGTCAAGTTGCATCGAACCTTACCGAATCCCCGATTCGACTATTTTGAACGTTTTAGCTTTGCGGTACGCTGGGGTGTACCCATCCGCAGGCATTTTGAAGTTATCTGTATCCATATGCATACTAAGTCTGTTCAAAAGTTTCGGTTCAGTTTTGGTTAAGCTAAATTTTCATTTTAGCTAATTCTTTAAATATTTATGTCTCACTTTTCCATTATTATAGGAAGACTGATTTTAACTCTCTCTCTCTCTCTTTAATTTTTAAATCTAAATTTCTTGCCTAAACTTCTACCTTAATAAATTTTTAAATTAAAAAATTATTTTTTAGATAAGATTTGAAGAAGCATTGTATTTTGATGAAAAAATGTCAAATATATATAATCGAATTAAGAATTGGTTTTCGGACCGTATAGAAGCTTGGATTCTTTATAAATATTTATTTAAAGATTTATTTAAATTAATGGCAGATTTTGTTTTAGTAAAAGAATCTAAATTCAGTTTACATTTAAATTTGTTTTATAAAGAAATGGTTAAAGAATTAAATTTCCCTAAAGAGTGGATAGAAGCAGAACAAAATTTACTTGATCCAGAAAAATTTTATCAAATGGAAGTAATGTTGGAAGTATTAATTCGAATTAATTCTTTTAAAGTTATTTTGGCTTTTGAAAGGATGGATAAAATTTTTAAAACATTTTCTTTTATTAAAAAAGAGGAAGTTGAAGAAATTGAAAAGAATTTTGGGTTTTGAAGCAATTGAGAATTTTTGAAAAAAGGATTGAAAGAAGGTGAGAAGCAAAAAAGTGATTTTGATTTTTTTTAAAAAAAGTTTTTGGGGTTTTGTAAAATATTTAACAAAATTTGTATTTATTTAAGTATTTTCTAAAAGTTTTTTATTTTTTTTATTTTTAAAATTTTTTTGTGACAATTTGAAGGGCTGGGTGCAACTGGAATTTTTCTTACTTTTTAAATTTTTTAAAATTAATTTTTTAACCCGTAATTAAAAATCCCAAAATCCGCAACTGCGTCCAGCCTCGATTTGAAAATTATTTTAACAACATTTTTCTAATTCATTTATTTTATTCGTAATTTTGTCAAAAATTGTAAAGTATTTTTTTATAAAATTGTAACCTTTTAAATGACTTTATCTTAACTCTCAAGTTATCTACTAATTACCATGATTTTTGTGAGCATAAATTATTTTGAAAATCAGGGATAGAATGAAAAAAAGTCGGGTCAGTGTAGGCTTTTCAAAATTTTCTTCGGATCGAGTTTCAAATTGAAAAATATAATAGATTTGGCTAGGATCGGTTAAAAATTCGATTTCAGCCAAAACTTGAGAAAATAAATGTTTTTTAATTTAGGTAAGCATAAAAAATAATTAAAGGATTTTTCTATTTCCTTATTTAAACATCTTATTTATATAGAGGAATCATTAGATAAAATATCTAATGAAAATAACAAAGAAAAATATGTAAAACTTCTAAAAAACTAGGGGTGGTTATCATTTTGAAACGCAGTGTATTAATTTTTTTGAAGTTTAGAATTATTTATTATTTGAAAAAAAAACAATTTGAGTGAAATATGGGATTATTCTGCAGAGGTTACACTTACCAACTTTTCTTAAATTACACGGACATCTTGGTCCAGAAAGATTTTTTAATTCAAAAATAAATAAAAAATTAAAAACAAAATTTATTTCCTTAAAAATATTTTTTAACAATTTTTACTTAAATTTTAAAAATAAATTTAAAATATTCCGACTATAATATACCCAGATATAATATTTAATTAATTTAAATTTTATTCCTATTCATTCCCTTTCTGGGCAAATTATAGTCGGTCAAACGTAATTACAATTAATCATAAAAATAAAGATTAGTTTCTGAACAAATTCCTTTTGATGGGCCAAATATTGAAATATTTTGATTTGGACCACAGCAATTTATACTTCCAAATTTAAATAATTCCTAAATTAAAAATAAGAAAATTTAAAGAATTATTTTAAAATAAAAAAATATTTGCAGACAAGGATTTGCGGCGAACGTTTTTCGAATTAATAAACAGTAAGACTTGAGATGTGTTATTGAAATCGGGAATGACGGGTTGAGGAATAATCAAATCGGGTTCCGGATTTCGGGTCGAAAAAAGGCCGGATTTCGTGTATTGTACTTCTGGAACGGGCAGGATTGAACCTGCGACCTTCTCGTAGTGAGCTACCGGGGGCTACCGGGGCATCGACTAACTCTTTTATCCCTTTAGATCGTTTAACTCTCGCCTAACAATAAGCGTTTTAAATGCTTCTAAGTGAATCATCCTTACAATAATACTAATATATTCCATTGTATATTTGTGATGACTCATATATTCTTAAATAAATTATTAAGCATTAATTTTGCCCCAAAATAAATTTACACAAATTCCATCCAATTTCTACTAAACATTCAAGAAATAAAAAATTTACTTCATTTCTTTGTTTGTCCATAAAAACAGAAATATAACAAGGAGGAACAAAATGAGTATAAGTTAATTCTCTAATAGCTGTAAATGTTGCTGCCCCACCACCCAAAATACCAAAAACTAAAAAATTAAAAAGAAAATATTTTTTTGATTAATTAAATTTACCAATAATAAAAATTGATAGAAAAAGTATTTTTTTATCAGAAATTGTTAGGACACTAAAAAATAAAAAAATTATTCATAATTTATAGTTTAGTAAAATTAACTCTTTTAATGTTGCATATTCGTTATATTCACTATAAAAAGTAACTTTGTTTTCCTGAAAAATTAAAAAAATTTTTTTTTAAATATGTATATGTATTCCTTCAACATGTGTATATTATTTATTTTTAAATAAATTCTGAATTAATTACAACAAGAAAAATTGTCTCAAAATTTATTTCAAGATTTAAGAGAGCATAGTTTGACGGTTCTTGGAGAATCTTTGGAAGGAAAACCCAGAGAAATCCTCGGTCCTTCTGTTCGGTTCCGAACAGACAATCCTAGTCTTGAATCTTGGAATCCTTATTAAAAATAGAAACAAAAGTTATAGAAAGAGTTTAGCAGAAGTTTAGCCACCGGGCAGGATTCGAACCTCCTGACAGTTATTGTTAGGCGCTTTCGCTCACCATATACAGGAGCTCTACCACTGAGCTAATGGGCGACGACTAATACTTTCACTTTTATCCCTTTAGATCGTTTAACCCCCGCTTTACGTCTTAAATGCTCTAGTTGAATAATCCTTACATTATTAACCATTAACATTAAAAAAATTTTACATACATTAAATTTAATTTTAATATTTTTGTTAGTTTCTTTCAATTTATATTTTTGTTCAGAAGCATTTAAAAATAAATAACAAATACAGGGATATATTAATGCTGTAGACGTTTGTGTAGAACCTCCACTTAAATCGAGTAGAGGCCCAAATGTTGGAATTGATTCAGCAACTAAAACTACCAAAAAAAGGACAATTCCGCGAACAATAATTCGAAAAGGGCCAAATTCTTTAAAAAATTTATAAATTATTTTTTAATTTTTATAGAAAAAATATTTTTAAAATACCAAAAAAGAAGACCTTGTGGTACAAAGAATTTCTTTTCGGCAATTTGGTTAATTGGATTAATTACAATAATTATAGAAAATATTGCATGTCCAGTAATTAAAAAGCTGGCTGTCTAAATTATATATTTTTTTAAATTATTTTAGTATAATTTTTCGGGAAAAAATTTTGTAAATAAAGATAGGTATACTTAACTAATTTACAAGTAGACATCCTTTTCCTGATCCTTTAGTCTAAAAAGGTTATGCCCCTCCTCCCTGTTCACCAAATTCAAAAGCACTCCCCTCGTCCCTCCAAAAATCTGTTTTCGAATAATCTAACTATAATTTAACTTAACTCGTTTATAAAATTGAAGTTTTGATTTTAACCTTTCTTAATTTGTAATGCTTAAATAATTTTCGAGAGATTTCAAGAGATTATATATCAGAAATAAAAAAAAATTTTAAGATAGATATGTAATTCTGTTTATTTCTTACATGTTGAATCCAAACATTTTGTATTGAATTCATAATAGATTCGCGTAAACTATTTCCATATACAATATATCCCAAAATACACACAGGCAAATAAAGCATTGATAAAACTTTAATTTAATTATTTTATGAGAGATTATTTTAGTTTATCTTAATAATCTTTAATAATAATCTGTTTATTTTTTGTGAGGTTTTGTATAAATCAGTGATAGTTCTAACGTATGTATAAAACTTTTCTAACGAGTCATTATTTCCACATTTAGAACTTGCGGGGGTATTGTTAGTTTTTTAGTTTATTTTATTTATTGCGCAAATCACTAGCGGCAATTATAGTTTACTCGAATATATTCAGCCATAAACCTAGCTTAAATAGATGGCCGAATGTAACAGTTTTTGGAAAATAAAAGGAAATAAAAATTACTTAAAAATGCTATAATTGATGCTTTAGTAAATTCTTTAGGTTTTTTCATGTCATGTTGAATTGTTGGAAAGCCAGGATGCCCTCCATAAGAAAAAAGAAAAGTTCCAAGGGCAAGAAAGTAATTACTAAATTTATTATTTGGTGGCATTCCTACAGAAATTTTGGCACAAACAGAAGAATCCATTAAAGTTCCAAAACAAATTAAAATAACGGCTATGGTTGTTGTCCCAGCTGATAAAACAGCTGCCCACCTTTAAATTAATTTTTCTTAAGAAAATTAATTTTAATTACCAAAAATCTTCTGGCGATTTAAGTAATGTAAACGGAAAAAGCAAAAGTGCCAAAATTAAAATTAATAAACAAAAACTAAAATTAACGTCAAAAAAAGCTTTCAAAAAATGTTGAATATTTTTTGAAGATAAAAGTAAAAAAACAACACAAATTCCAAATTGATTTAATTGAATACATATACTTGCCAAATTTCTTTATTTAAAATTTAAAAAATTAAATTAATTTTAAAAAATTATTTTGGAAGGGTTTAGTAAATAAAAATAGATATTTCCCTATCATCACTCAAAATTATTCAAATCCATTAAATTCCTTTAAAATAGTCAGATGCTCCTAAATATTACTATTTTTCTCAATATTGTTTAAAATTTATGGTGAATCACAGGTATGGTTACCCGGTTCATGGTTACCCGTAACGATGACTTTTTTTGACTGGAACCTGGAACTCAATCCAACTTTTTTCTCAACCAGACCCATCCCTGATCTAAACAAGGTTTTTAGTACTTAATTTAGGTCTGTAACAGTAACGATCGAGAACGCGTAATTTCAGGTAAGAGGAGGATCCGGAATTCTAGTTTAATTATCAAGAGAATTTGTAAAAGGGAGAGATTTTATTTTAGAAGAAATTTATAAATACAAATTAAAAATTTACTTAAATCGAGGGCCTAAAGCCCTCATACAAATTTCTGGATAAGGCTCTCGGCAATGATTATCTTTATAAATAACAGGCCAACGTCTTTGTAAAATTAACCAACACTTTCCAAGCATTATAGATGTAGAGCAAGCCATTACTTTAAATTTAAAAGGGGATTTTACAGAAATCAAAAATTAATTATTAACTTGTAAGAAGAATATTGAGAAAAATGCCCGTCCATAAACCTAAATTTTGAATTTTAAATTAAAATTTTTTATTTTTACCTGATTGAATTACAGCTGTCGGTAAGGCAACAATACCTCCTCCAGCTAATTGTGCTACAATAAATAAACCTGTTACAAACCAATTAAGTCCTCCATTACTCTTTTCGGCATTTACTGTCATTTAATATTTCTAAATATTTTTTTGAATATATGTATTTTTGTTAAATTTAAATTAAATTTGAAAGCAAAGAAAAATTCTGATTGTCAAAAGTTTAAATAAAATTTAGATTTATTTATCATTTTAAAATTATTTTTTGTATTTTTCTTAAAATCTGGCTAAATAATATATATCTGCATAAAGCTGCATCTTTTCAAGACTTTCAGGTAATTACTTATAAATGATCATAATATTTCTTAGTTTTCAAAAAAATCAAATTTATTTTCATTAAAAGAAACTAAAATTTGTTGTACATATTATTATTTTTACAAAATTTTTGGTTAAAAATAAATATTAAATATATAGTATAAGTAAATGTAAAAATATGACATTCTATAAAATGCAACGCCAACCTTTTAATCTCTAATAAAAAATAAATATTTTAATAAATTCCTACATTAATTTTATGTAAATATTTTTAATAAATATCTATTTATTATTATACATTATTTAAATATAGAAAGGAGGATGACGGGAAATTAAAAATATTTTTAATTTAATTTAATTTTAAATGGCCAAGAAATTTTAATAATTAATAAGAAAATTATTTGGAAATAAAATTTTGTTTTCCTCAGTTAATTACGCCTTAAAAGGAGGACTGCTTCTTTTTTGTAAACTATTTTTGAAGAAACAAATAAAAATAATTTTTTAAACAAAAAAATATTAATTTATTATTTAATTATTTCTAAATTAATTTTTATCAATTAAATTAATTATACATATTTTTTAATAAAAATGCAAATAATATTTTATAAATTTTATTGTTTTTTATTGTCCATAAAAATGATAATTAATAATGATGATTTAATAAATAATGATAAAATAATTAAATTTTATTGTTAATATGTTTGTAAATATAAAAAATATTTTTAAATTAATTAAATTATGTCTAATAAATTTGGAAATGTGATACTTTTTATCACTCCATTTTTTGGCTTAAATATATTTTAATGTTTTCGGAAAGAAAAGATTTCTAGGATTTTCTATATTTTAAATTTCGAGTAAAAAATATATAATATATTTTTATGTTTAGTAGATATTTTTAAATTTGATTAAAAAGTAAAGCAAAGAAAAACAAAATTAAAATTTAATTAAGGAGTTTCACCCTATTATTATTTTTAGGGTTGCCAACTCGCTCGACCCGAAACTCGAAAGATCGAGCGAGCAGAGGCTTTTCAGCTAGAAAACGAACTGAATCGAAAAAAATCAAGCTCGGAAAATGCACCGAACGTCGTTTCGAACCGAAAAGGACAACCCTAATTATTTTTTTATAATTTGATGTATAAATAATAACGTAAAAATTGGGTAACGTCGTTAAAGTCAATGAAAAAAAACTTTCTTTAAGTTTTGATTAAATGAATATAAACGATTAAAAATTAAAAAAATATTTTTTTATTAAATAAATATTAAAAATAAATTTATATTTTATGTTTTGTGTTTTATTATTTAATTAAAATTAAATAAATTAATAAATATCACGTGAATATACCTGAATAATAAATTTCAGCTTAAGCCAAAAATAATTATTTTTATTTATTATTAATTTCAAATAAAAAATAAAATTTATACCTCGCGTAAATTTATTAAAAAAAATTTATTTTCCATTTATTAATCAAAAAATTATTTTAAAAATTCATGTGATTTTAAATTTTTTAAATAATTTACAATTTAAATTATTAATTAATATACTTTTTTGTTCAAAATAAAATTTCAAAAAAATACAAAAAATAAAGAAAAAAATATAGAAATAATTTTTCGATAATTAAAATTAGAGAAAAATATTTTTAATTTTTGATTTTAATATTTTTGAAGATTTTTTGTACGAACAGCTTTGGTACAAAAAATAATAATTTAGATAAGAAAATTAAAAAAAGAAGAATTTTAAATCGGAAACGAATCCAAAAATATTTTATATATGAAAATTTGAGCATCTGTATTCGATTATAATTTGAAAACAAAAAAGTTATAGAGTCTTTTTATTTTATTTATAATTAATTGAATTTACAATAATTTGTTTTATTTTAATTTTTAAAAATATTAAAAATGACAACTAAAAAATATCAATATTTAATTATTATTTTAATATTTGGTATTGTTATAGCAAAAAGTAATTTTAATTTTTAATCGAAGTGTATAATTCAAAAGATTTCTAATATCCTTACAAAATGAGTTATAATTGTAATTTAGATTAGAAATTTCCAAATAATTTTGAATTAGTACAATACCATTCGACGTCGAGTGTGTCGAAAGAGGAGTTCCAATATAACTATAATCTATTTAAATTACAAATTACAGAAAAGACTACAACCCAAAAAGCTCCTCTTGTTAAAGCAAATATTGATACTAACAATAATGATAACACAGGACTAACACCTTTTTGTAATTGTGCCAGTGTAACTCCAAATTTTGGAAGTAATACAGATATACCTCAAAATCCGTGTGTTCCAACTCTTGCTTACGACCAAAAAAGTATTTGGATAACTTGGAATAGACCTGACAATACTGACAAAGATTACTTGATTATAATGTTTATATGAATGGAAATGTAAATAAAAATTGGGGAAAATGTCTAAAAAAATCATAATTTTTAGAAAATTGGTTCTTCTTCAGAAAATGCTAATAATTATGCAATTTCAGCCCCATATATAAATAATTTCCACAATGTTGACAAAAATAAATTTCATGTTCCAACATTGTTTAACTCCTTTTATGTAGACAATTTAGAAGCAAATACTGTCTATAAATTTACAATTCGTGCAGTATATTCTGATGGAGAATCTGAAGATAGTGTTACTCTTACTGCAAAAACTGCTCAAAATTATGGGAAAGTATGGAAATATATAAAAATTTAGAAAAAAATTAATTATCTGACTTAACAAAACGTATAATTTCAAAATTTTATTAGGCATGTATTGAATGAATTACGGCAAAAACATTGAAATTAAATGGCAATTTTTACTGAAAGGCTTAATAAGGCCCTATTCTTGAACGATTTTTTTCTAGATTTTTTCGCCGATTATCTCTTAGACAGTGGTTTCAATTTTTGATTTAAAAAACATTTTTAGATAAAAATTTTTAGATAAAAATTATCTCTTAGAAAATATGAATTAATAAGTTCAATCAAAGAATTTAAGTTATTTATATTATATTTCAATTTAGATAATTGATATTACTGAGAAAGGTGCTAATGGAGACGGGAAAACAATAAATACTGATGCTATTCAAGGAGCTATAAATGATTGTGGGCAAACCTCTTCTGCTTTCGACTGTAAAGTTTTAGTCCCAGATGGTACTTTCATTTCTGGGGCTTTATTTATACAAGCACCATTAACGTTGGAATTGGCTGAAGGGGCTATTATACAAGGATCGGGTGAAAATAGCGATTTTCCTAAAAATAAAGGGAGATTAGACAGACCACCATCTCTTCTTAATGCTGTAAGTTAAATAATAATTTTGCAATATTAATAATAATTTTTCAAATTTTTAATTATTTAAAAATATTTAAAAATTGGTAGGCCCTAAGTAGATATGACACATAAAATTTTTTCGACCCAAACTCCAAACATTTAGGGTAAAACATATAATCCAGGGTCTTGTCCAACTAGAAAAAGTCTGAATAATCAGTCTTGAAGATTTTTCAATATTTAATATTTTCAAAATTATATTTAATATAACATGAAATTCCGTAAATCCTTTAATATAATGGCCTTGTCTAATATAGCGTAGCAACACTTTCTAAATAAACCACAAAGGATTTTCTAAGAGGGTTCGCGTTAAAAAAAACAGTGGTTTCAATTTTTGATTTAAAAAACATTTTTAGATAAAAATTGTATATAGCCCGTATTTTATATTAGGTGCCCCAAATTAGGCGTTCAATCTATTTTTGGCATAACTCGCTTCCATTTCTAAGAAACTTAATGATATTTAAATAGCTCTAAACTTCATAATTTACTTTAATTAATTTATCTCAAATTTGAGTAAAATTTTTTGAATGAAAATAAGTTTGGTTTCAAATCTATGATTTTGATATAGACAAAGTTTATATTATTCGAATCAGCTAGTTCAACTGACCTAAACTGGTTCGACTGCCCTTAAAACCTTAAAAGAAATACTTCCGTGAAAGTATGGTTTCTGTTGCTCCAGCTGTTAGTATGGATTAGTCTCGTTACGCGAGTTATGCTAAATCAAATCGCGCGTCGAATTTGCTGCACTTTTTAAATTTATTTTAACTAAATATAGATAGACAACCCAATAACGAATCTTCGAATTACCGGAAAAGGAACATTTAATGGTAATGGATGGGGAATTGACCAAGTTTTGAAAGATGAAGTTGGAAATGATATGCCTATATATTTTAAAGGAAATCCAAATGATTATAGCAAAGGAATTCTTGCAAAAAGCCAGTTATCTGGAGGGGGTCCTTTCCAAAGTTCTCGTTCTACTCTAGCTTCCTTTTATAACGTAACAAATTTATTTATCGGAGGCAGCTTAACATTCAAAAATCCTTCTTTTCATGGTTTGCAAGTTGACTATTGCAATAACGTTGTAAGTTTTTATTTGAAAATGGCTCTAATATGTATTTAACTCTGATATTTTTTACAATTTCACGCGTCAACTTTCGCGGCAAATCCCCAAATTTGTTTTTGAAATATATGTAAATATTTTTAAAGGCTATACTTAACAACCGAATACTAACATATGCCGTAACTAATGGAGATGGAATTGATCTTGGCAGTTCCTCCAATGTCCAATTACTTAATAATTTATTGGATACTGGAGATGATGCGCTTTCTTTAGCTGCCGGTGCTGGTCGTATCGGCGAAAATGGAAAACCAACAGAATGTGTACTCATGAGAAACAATTATATTAGACACAGTCATGGAGCACCGTCAGCTGGAAGTCATACAGCTGCTTGGATAAAAAATTTACTCGTTGAGGTATTGGAATTTCTTGGAATCCCATAGAAAAGGGATTCCAAGAAAAAAAGAGCTAAGTTTAGCCAAATACCTAACTTATTCGCTAAAGCATACGAAAAGATGTAGGCTGCTAATCTTCTATTAGGGCTAAACCTCTGCTATTAATTATCCTTACATGTTCTCCCATTAAACCAATTTTAGTATAATTTTAAAAGTTTTACAAAGATTTTCATAGATGACGTTGTTTATGGTAAACAAATCATCCCTTACACCCCTTTTTTTAAAGGAGGGTCCATTGATGGAAGATAATTTTAATGTATCTATTTAAGTATAATGTAATAGTCTCGGCATCAAATGGTATTCGCTGTAAAAGTAGCCCACCAATGGGTGGAGGTGTAAAGAATGCTGTATTTAGAAATATTGCAATGTTAAATGTTGGAAGTAAAAATACAGCAAATTTAGGAAATATTCAATTAGATGGAATAACAGAAGAAGGAAGTGCTATAATTTTAACATTAAATTATTTAGACGAAACAAGTGATTTAAAATTCCATAAAGCAGTAAATTCAGCAAATTTTGAAGAAATTGAATTTAGTGAAATAACAATAGATAATGTTAATAAAGGAAATTCTGGACCTTCAATTTTAATGGAGGGATATGATAAAAGCCAGACTAATTATCCAAAAACTTATTTGAAAAATATTGTAAGTTTATTTTAATGATTGGAGTAGATTAAGGAATTGAACGATAAGCCAAATAACTTTTAACCCAAAGGTCCAATTATTACAATATTATCAGGCTGATGGAAGATAGACATTTTTGTAAAAAAAAATTTAAATAAAATTTTGTGATTCAATCATACTTACAATTAGTAGCAATTAGCTCGTCGAGTGATCTACATAACAAGTCGATTAATCCCCGTGATCGAATAATTTAGGGGAAAGATATGCACAGTTATTGTGGCCCCTTCCATATGCGGAAGGGGATACTCTTTAAAAATTAGAATATTTTCCTTTATCAAACAAATATTTTATCAAATAAAATCAGATAAAATTTGATTAAATATTTGTTTGGAATTCTATTCAAAAGTTATTTGGCTTATCTTTCAAGGAATATAAACAAAATTAATTATTTTATTAAATTTATAGTTAGTCAAAAATTTAAATTTAACAAATGTTTCTCCAATACAAATAACCCAATTACTCAATAGCAGCTTTGTTAATGTTCAAATTAATAATTTTAATGGCAATTCTGCTTGGAAAATAAATGATGCTCAAAAATTAAAATTTGAAAATGTTCCTACTCTTAAAAGAAATAATTGGGCTTAATTTAAAAAGAAAATAATTTGGAAAATTTAAAATATAATTTGGGTTTAAATTGTTGGATATTTCGGGGTGAAAATAACGGGATGGGGGTTGGGAAAGTGGCATTGAGGGAATACAATAACTGACAACTGTATTTATGTAATTTTCAATCAAATTTCCGATTTCCGGCACCTTTGTCATTCTTATTGACTATTTAGTTTACAAATGCTTAAAAAATTCTTTCTAATAGCATAATTAAATAAAACAATTTTTTAAAATAAAAAATTACCATAAATACTCTAAAATAAGCCCCCCCCCCAAATAAGCCCCCCTCCAATGTTCCCTCTAATATTTTAAAAATATTTTTATAAAAAATATTTTTTGTAAATTTACTCAAAGTGGCCTATTGAATAATATAAGCCCAGGGCTTATCTTACAGTATTTACGGTAATTTCCATTAATATAAGCCCACTCAAATTAATTTAATCTTCTCATCCATTTTCAATTCTTCAAAATAAATTGCAAGTTTAGCAACATTTTCTAATAATTTTCTTTCTAAATAAACATCCAAATCTGTAGAACTTTTTATTTTATTTCCAACTAATTCTTCATAAGCTTTTACTTTATAACTTTTTAATCCAATCAAATTCGGCATTTTCCCCCAATATTTTAAAAATATTTTTTCAGTTATTAATTTATTAAAAAATATTTTTTTAATTTCACTCTCATTATTTAATTTATTTTTTGGGAATAAATTTATAGCAACAAAAAAATCTAAGGCATTTAAAGCATCAGATAAAATTGCTTGATTTTTTGTCGCAGAATTGTGTAAATTTAGTGCTTTTAATTTGTACTAAAAATTTATTTTATTTTTAATAGTGTTTTATACAAATTGTTCACTTGGAGCATTTAAAAATGTTTTGGTTACCTAAATACCGTTACCTGGCCACTAAACTTTTGCTGAGCTTTTAATTAGAATATACCGTATTTCCTATATTAGAGCCCTATGGGGCTCTATTTTTCAACTATCCTCCAGGGTGGGGAACTATTTCAGGGTGGGGTCTAATATAGGAAATACGGCATGTATAGTTTGCTGGAATCGGGCCCTCTATAATAATAATTTTATTTCATTTCCCATCCACTGAACTAAAGTTCAATCTTATAATTATTTATTAAATACCTCTTCAATATCTTCAGGACTATCTGCCATATCAAATATTTTTTCAAAAATTTTAATTTTTGAAAAAATTGTTAAAAAATTAATTTGTTCTTGTTTAATTAATTTTAATTTAATTTTTAATTTATTTTTCTCTTTTTCATCATTTAAAGAATATAATTTATTTATTAAATGGTCCAAATATTTCTTTAAAGCATTATCTGACCATATCAAATTATCTCGAACTTCAGAAACAAATAACGTTAATGCTAATCTTAATCTACTAATTAGCATTTCATAGTCTAACTAAAAAACAAATTTATAAGTTTGTCTCAATTTTACCTAAAAATCGCCTAAAGATTAAATATAGTAATTACCTCAAAAATACTTCAGAAACCTTTGATCAGGAAAATTTCCGGTTTGAATATCGGATCCTGATATCCGTATATTTCCCAAATCCACCAACCCTACTTGGAGTTAAAAAATTTATATGAAATTAGGGGTATAGCTATGCAGCCCCTTCATCTGTTGTCTAATTTAATCTTAAAAAACGTATCAAAACTGAGGTTATCTTGAATTGGCTGTATCTATAAACGGAGATAAGACCGTTTAAAAATAAAATCTTAACCGAAAATAAAATAAAAGCTTCATCAATATTTTTATGATTTTTTGCTTCATCATTCCATTCCTTTAAACATTTTTTTAATTTATTTCTTCTTTTAATAAAAAAACTTTTAAAGAAAATTATTTTAGAAAAATCAGATTCTTTTTCAATATTTAAAATATCTTCAGATAATTCCAAAGCCAAATTAAGAGAATTTAATAAAATTTGTTTAACATAATTATTTTCCTCTAAATTAACATTTTCTACATCAAAATAATTATTTTTATCTTCAAAAATATTTAACAATTTTTTTGAATTTTCTTCAAAAATTTTTTGAATTTTTATTTGAATCCCAAAAAAATATTTTAATTCATTAATTTCTGGAAATATTAATTTAAATTTAGAAAAAAATATTTTTTTTAAAAAGACCTTTTGGGTAAAGTTTATTTTGTTGACTTTCTATT